CCGCACCGCGCGCTCCCCGCGCATCGGACATTTTCTTTAAAAAGTCTATCTCTTTTAATTGAGAGAGACATAATCAAATTTATTGATGATTTTTTTGGTCGCGGTAGACTATCAGCTACGTTTAATCTAACAAAAGAGACAGTAATCGAATAAGTAATCGAATAAAGAGAATAGAAAGAAAAAGGGGCTCCAAAATATTTTGGTACCCCTCTCGGGACTTAGAAATATCTTGATACGTGATATGATATACAAAAAATCGATTTCTGCAAAACAGAAGTTTATTCTATTATATTTTCCTATAGTTTTGTCCTATAGTTTTGTAATCTTTTATTTTTTTATAGAGTTTTAATCATTAGCAGAATTAATTAATTTTTTCACGTTTATATGATCGTCCGGTAATAGTTATATTGTCAGGATTTCGCAAATTATTATACGAAAAATCAAGATATCTCTTGCAACATTGGTTGGAGTGTAAAAATTAAGAGTAAAAGTTAAGAGTTTCTTTTATATTTCGCGGCGTGCTACACAGGATTCTAATTAAAAAGCCGGAAATGCGAAAAAATCTAATTATCCTAATACTTGGATATGTTTTTATACGACATACAAAAAAATTAAGATTTCCAAAACGTGGTGATCTATTCTATTATAATTATTAAATTTTCCTATAGTTTTAATCTTCTGATAGCCTTTTATAGATATATGAAATAATGCACAGCGCAATGTCGAGATAACTAATCAGCATCGCGGAAAAGAAGCCACAATATTTGCGAGTATCGATTTAACATGCCTTTTTTAAGAGCGGAATATTTCAAGTAGCCATCAAACATGGTAATAAGAGCCCCTTAACGTGTTCAGATAATGAGCAATACACTCAGTTTTCTCTTCTCATTCTTATAATCGAATCCGCGCGAGAGCCGAACAAGTATCAACGTTTGTCACCGCCAATTTTTAACGACGACAACGTTCGTTCTTGTCATCACTAACCGGTGCGGCGCAATCCTCGCCGTTATCGACACTTACATGATCATCGATAACCGATTGCAGCCGTTACTTACATCCGCTCGTTTCTTGCCAACTAGCGCATCTTCGCGCGCGAGATTGTTTCCGGCGAGAGAGAGAGAGAGAGAGAGACGCTCCTCTTTTTTCCCTCGCTGTCTCCACACACACACACATATATACAACTCTCGACTATCGATGCGTCTCGCGGCTTCCTCATCTGGTACGTGGAAATCGTTTCCTCAAACTGACACCGCGCCGAAATTTCCGGCTCGTTGAACTCCGTTTGCAAAAGGGATCGTGGATAAACGCTAAATTTGGTTTGTCTCAGGATCTGCACTCTCCGTCGAGTTTCTGCCCCCCCTTCCCCCCTCTCCTCTACCCTCGTCGTCTTCGTACAAGGGCCAACGTTCTTCCCGGCGCCGTTCAGCTTGGCTCGGCGAGTGTGAGAATTTAGTTGAATCCATTTCTCCGAGGCGCCACGCCCCGGGAATCCAACGTTCCTTCATGGCCGGGCACTACCTTTTCTCGGTCGGACCCTTATTTCGGCACGTTCGAGCGTGAAGAAAATAGGCGCGCGCGCGCGTTTTCCTTCTCCTCGTGGCCCTGGATATGCGTGTGACGAGAGCGACTTGCGGGTGGCGTTTCACGAAAGCAGAGAGGGAAAACGCATCAAGCTTGATAGAGATACGCCTCTCTTCTTTTACGGAATATTGGAAAAAACTCGCCCCAAAGGGGGCGTAAGAGCAAATGTGCTGGGAAAATATCTTTTGGAGAAAGAAAATCGAGTTGTCATTATCAAGTGTCGTAGCGTGATATATCATACTGACAAATTTAAATCAGAATAAAAAATTTAGTATTTAAAATAAACTCTGAACAAGAAAATTAATTAAATTTTTCACTGAAATAAAAATGAAATTAATGAATAATCCCTAACTTTTTCTCAATTGTTGATCTGATGTGATTTTCTCTTTTATAAAATGTTAGCATTTTTTCCTATTCCTTTTAAATCACTTTAAAAATATATTTCATTGTTTGTTCTTCTCTCCTTATATTTACAATGCTACTAAAAGTAGAACAAATGAGAAATTGATAATTATGATGGGCTCAACAGTCGAGAAGCAGGTTTTTCATTTTCCTGCACAGATTTAAAACCGTGCAAACGTTTGACCCCGTCTGCTCTTTTTCTTCGCTTCGTTTCCATCCAATCACGACCGCGAAATAGTAGCTGCGCCGAGAGGGAGGGTTCGAAAAGTCTCGAAACTTTCGGGAGTTAATTTGATTTATCGTCGTACCGTCACTTCTCTTAAATTCATGCCTCGCGAGCCACCACCTCTCATCCCCTTCTCTACCTTCTCATTTTATCGTGAGAAATTCGCGAATGGGTGATTCCGCTAGGTAAGGAGAGAGGGGTCACTACGAGAGAATTTATTATTGATTCCGGAGTGTTTAAAAGGATCGCAACTGGCGCCGATTGATAAAAGGGCAACTCCCATTGTTGTACTAGGCTTTCTGCCCGACGAGAACTAACTGAAGGAACTCCGAGTCTTCTCTTCTCTCTCTCCCTCCCTCGTTTCTTCCCCATCGCTTTCCTTTCGAAGACCATCCCCGGTCGGATATTGCGTTTCATTGTTCCTGATATAATACGAAGGCAGAAACAGTGAAACGAAAAGGGGAAGACGTTCGTCTTTGTAAACTTCCGGCGCCCGTTCTCCGCCTGCCTCATTTCGACTTCTCTCCCGCCGCTCTTTGCCCTCCTACATCTCTATTACACTTCCTTTTCCCGTTGTACATCGTTGGCCGTTATTAAGCCCCACGAAGATAGATCGTATCGTACGCCGATGAGCGCCGCGGATTTATATCATACGGCTACAGGGATTATTATTTTCAAATATCGCTTTTACACGCTCGCAGGATTTATCGCGCGCGATCCCCCATGAGATATCTGCAATTCAGCTTCAACGTTCTCACCATGAAACCCCATACTTTTTACTCACAAAAAACGTCCTCTAAAATTTCTCCGTATCTATGTAATTTTTACGCGTTAAAGTCGCGCTTACAACCGTGCAATTATAAACCAACCCGTTATTTCCGGGTCGTTAGTCATCTGGATCTATTTACCAGATTGTTAACAGCAAAATTGAATTATTTCTACCAATTGCACACATACACATATTTAGCACAAGAGTGAAAAAAATAAGTAATATTTCAGATAAAATAAATGATATTTATATAACATATATTAATTGTACATATTAAATTATATATATTAATTAAACATATATGTATAAATTATATATGTTTACTTAGGTCACTTTTGTTCTACATTTCCGTGTTAGCACATCAAATCGCTTAAAATTCGCCATTTGCACATCCTATGGGCACCGTTTGCGTGCATATGTCCCTAATGGTTATTGGAATTGTTTGACGACATATTTAACTAGCTCGTTAACCGCTGGCTGCGATTACCGTAACCGTTACCGTCTACCTACCGTATCAACGTTACGAAGAAGCCCCGGCGAGTACCGTGTAAAGGAGTGAAAAGGGATGGGAGGGACAGAGGAAGGGACGCAGAACGGACTTACCTAATCCTAAGCAAACACGGCCTATTCCTGGTACCTGTCTGATCAAACATTTGTCTTTACTACTCGGTTGATTAAACGCCTGCCAAGTTTATACTGTTTCCGTGGT